CAATAAGGTGAACAGTCCCTTTCATTAAAAAAACTTTAAAGGGAGTGTTCGCGAGAAATAAAAACGTTTTTAACGGATTTCGAAAAATGTGAGTGGTGCGCGACATTCTTAGATAGTTGCGCAAGCGACAAGAGAAATAATCAAATTCAAAACAAAATATTATAAAATATAAACTATATACAAATGTGGCGAAAGATAATTGATGACTATAGGTTGTAATATCTGAATGATTTGTTTAAAATTAAATTGATTTTTTTGCGGTCTCTAAGTCGTATGTTGCAATTTTCTCAATTTGTATGGACGCTAAGTTATTCGGTATGAGACGTCTTTAACAATTTTCTCCTTATAGGCGCAACAGATAGAATTATGATTAGTAGGGATCAAAAGCGCTTTTTATCGCATTAAGCCTATACGCCCATTCATTTTTCGCGAACACTCCCTTTAAAGCAAAGATGGCGTGGAGCGCCTTGACTTTCTATATTTTGTTTTAGAATTGTGTACACAATATTGAAAATGCATATAAACATCTCAATTCAAAGATGGATAAAACATCATGGCACTGTTATTTATTTTTTCGAAAACCTGAATAAAACCCTGGTCAAATTGTAGATCTAGTAAATTGTATTCTTGGAGTTAAAGCCTCAAATACAGGGATGGGATTATTTTTTAAACTTTAGATTGCAAATCAAGAATTCGATACAAATCAGACATTTTATTTTTAAAGGGAATGAAACCATTTTGGAATGTGTGGCTATCTAGTAAAATTACTTAGTCTCATAGCTATTTGATCCTTTGATGTCGGCCGATTTTGTTAAAGCATATACGCTAAAAAATATGAAAGCATACTTTCAATTAAAAATCAAGTTTTTTAAAAACAGATTTTTTAAAATTTGTGATCTCCAGGCTGTGAAAGTGCACTTGCCCATTTTTTGCTTTAGAAACAATTGAGAAATTATCAGAAACACTTTGAAGGAAAACCGAAGACAAAATTAATGACAATGTATCGGACATGCCCAGCTCTCTAAATGGAGGGTTCGTGGAATTATTAACGTGTCTACAAAACCTTAAATTCTGTACACTGTACAGTGTACACTCTACACAAATTGAAAGAGTAACAGACATTTTACCAAAAAAGTGAAAATTAAACGAAATATATGAAACTTGACTTTTATCCAAAACTATCTTAAACAAGTAAAACTGGAATCAAATATTTGTCAGAATAAATTTTAATTTTATTTTACATTTTTGTATTTTGCAACCTAAAAGAGTTATAATTAACAAAAAAAGAAAAAAATCTTTGGCATAGAATCAACTCAGCAAGATGTTTTAATTGTATATAAGACGTATTCATGATTTGTAATCATGTTTACGCAAATGCATCGTATATGTTGAGAAACCCCATGATGATAGTCGGTCAGAATAAGAATGCTAATTTTGAAAAAAATTAAAATTATTTTGTCTAAAATTACACAGTATTCAACATAAGTTCAATTAAAACAAACAATTTAAAATTAAAAAAATGCATGTTGGGAAAACGCAAAGGTACAATTTAAATAATGTTTTACTTTATTTCAAGAGCTAGGCTTGTAAAGCTATACTAAACTTTTATTTTTGTAAAATTACGCAGTTTTATTCATTAGTACATGATGTAAAATATCAAAAAGTATTTACAAAAGGTAGAATGACCTTCTAGAATCCTGAAACTGAGATTTCCTAAAACAAAAGCGTGTTCATGGACCGCACACGAACTGTTTTTGTGTAAATATGCTAATAACAAAACCTTCATACACCTTATATTTAACTGATTCTTATCAGCAAAATATTTCAGATTATAATTGAGTAAAAATCTGTAGGAAAATAAGATTAAGTGTAAAAGTTGTTACATTATCTGTGTTTTTTTTTCTTCTAAATTTTAGGCAATTTTGTTTATTTGAAATGTTATTTCAGACAAATGTTTTAGAACATTTAACCATTTTGAGAGTTTTGAGTATTTTGAGTGTTTTGAGTGATTTGAGTGATTTGAGTGTTTTGAGTGATTTGAGTGTTTTCAGTGTTTTGAGCGTTTTGAGTGTTTTGAGTGATTTGAGCGATTTGAGTGTTTTGAGTGTTTTGGTGTTTTGAGGGTTTTGAGTGTTTTCAGTACCTCATTTCCAAGATAATACTTTACTTACACATAACAAAATGGGTAGGTTCGTAAAATTGAAAGAGACTGTACAGTGTACAGGCGTACTTTGATGTGACCCTACATCATAAAAGTTCCATGTCTGATTCACATCCTTGTCCTTTAAACCTATATGAGTTTTAGTGAGAATTATATCTAAAAATTGTTGAATTCTGTTTATTTCATCTGAAATATGTAATGAGTGAAAAAATATTCAAAGAAAAGTGGAATATTATTCCCTCTATCCTACTTATACATATAACAAAGTGAACTAAATTTGACAAGATCAGGGACTTTCAAAATTTCTATTTTTTTTAAAATAACTCCAGTATAGGCTCTATAGCTTTCGCTAACAATATTTCTCATTTATTTTTTTTATCATTAAAATTCCGACTACAGTCCCTTTAAAGGGTCCATCTAGACACAAAATTAAGCTCCTTTAAGCTAAAGTGCATAGAAACTGACTTGAATTACATAAGTAGATTGATTCACGGTGTTGACTGTAAAACCACTGGAAGCTGCGGGGTTTCTCTCTTTAGTCCGCTCTTTCTAAATCTTCTCAGTTGATAACAAACCCTCAGAGTGGTAGGACGTGAGATTACTCTCAATTATTATAAATCAGACCAGTCAGAGTGAACAATAGACTACAAATGAATACATTGTGAACATTAAAAATGATTGAAAATTAATGTTTAAAGTAAATTAGTTAAAATGGATTATTTTTGGAATTAAGAAATTCCAAGATTTCCTAAGAAATATTTCGTAGATTTCTTGTTCCAATTTGGCTGCAGAAATGAATCCTAGATCCCAAAGTTGTTGAAGATTACGAAATTCCTTTGCAAAGCCCACTAAGTGAAATTATACCTTCTAATGTCATGAAGAGAGTGAGTGATGAGTTTCTCAGAGAAGGAGACTTGAACAAGAATCAAGAATCTGAGTTGATTACTCCTCAAAGTTTCATTCATACATCAATCTTACAGCACTATTATACAGTAAGTCCTTATATCTAAATCCTTATCAAAGTTCTTCATTTAAAAAATTAGATAATAAAACAAATTGTATTTTACTAGGCATACATAGCGTTTAGCTTTTTATATTTATCATCTAAATATTAACAATGTAAATGGGTTTGCTCTGTAAAATTTTTCATTTTCGACCCTTTTTACCCTTTTTACTCTTTTCTATTTTTGTTTGAGTTACCACACAAATATTGATCATTTCAGCCGTTTTAACGTTTATTGGATAACGTAGGAAACCAACAGACAAGCAATCTTTAAATTAAAGATAGTTCAGAATTCGAAATTTTTATGAAACTAGAATTCCAGGCCGGGCGCTTCGCACACACCCTCGATTTTTACTTTTAATTGTTGCTCTTTTATCGATTCTTTTCGTGGATTTATATAAATTTAAATTTTTTCAATTCTAACCATCCACAACCCTTTCCTTGGATCATGTCAGGTCCCTCAAATTCGGACCCGATCGATTCAACCGTTTTGACGTTCATCGGTTACAAACAAACACCCACCCAGACAAGCAAAGTATATATAGAAGGATTGGTCGTTTCTTGCAGTTATGCTTTTTCTGGGGGGGGGGAGGCCTATTGTTTACGACATTTTTAATATTTTGTTTCTCACACTGCACTCCTTTACAGTTATTCTTGATTATAAACCAAATCTGAAAAGTTTGCAAATATTTTAGCATATTTGAAGTAGCATAAGAAGTAGGGAACCCGCGGACGCCATGAGCCTCCACAATGCAGAACAAGCCTCCCAAATTTTCTAGGAAGACTGATACTCCACCATGCAGTAAGAGCCTCCGCTATACAGTAATTAACGAGCCTCGGCTATACAGAATAGCTTCCCTATGATTCCTTGTTTTAACATGTAATACAGATTTTAAAAAAAATTCCAACAGAGAAGCACAAGAAATTTACTGAAGACTAATTTCGTTTATTGATTGTCATGATTTGCATCTTATGTTGACCCATAAAGTGGTTTTTAAGAATTATGTCTTACAATAAAATATTTCTTACGCAGTGAGGAGGCTATTTGAGAATTCATTTCTGAATTGAACTTTGGTTTAATCTTTGATTTAAGCAAAACCTTTTTTGATAATTTTTTTAAGATTCAGATTATTTGTCAATGTCAAATTTTTTAATTCTTAATCTGATAAAAATTTCAAAAAAATGTATCGCTTAAATCAGAGATTATAAAATTTCAAATAAAATTACTTTCAGAGTTTTACGAAAACTATTCCGTACAGCGAAGGCTCTTACTGCATGGCGGAGGTTCGGTATGCCTAAAAAATCTGGGAGGCTCATGTCTGCCCAGCAGAGGCTCAAGGCATCCGAGGGTTCCCTCCCTCGTCATGGTCAAGGGCTGTTCACATCTTTTATAAAATTTACCAAAATACTTCATGCCATATAATAAATGGACTTAAAAAAAATTCTGTCAAATCTTTGATTTGGTTTTACTTTTATTCTTCAAAATTGTTTAAGAAAAAGAAACTAAAGGGGGACATATAGGGTTACGTTACGATTTATATTCAGATATCAATAATGACTTTTTTTTACAAATTTTATAATTTCATTCCATATAGAAAGTACAAAATCTGTCTCTATTGTTTTATTTAGTAAGTTTAAAACACATTTCTGGATACATCTATGTTTTTAGGAAATCTTTCTACACCGATAATCAAGGATTGGTCAATCCTTGACTGCTGATGATCAAGAATAATTCTATCCCTGGACTGCTAGGGATCAAGGATTGGTTTATCCCTGGACTGCTGGATTAATTTTCCATGGAAAGATTAATCTATACTGGGGCTGATTGGACGATAATCAAGGATTGGTCAATCCTTGACTGCTGATGATCAAGAATTAATCTATACCTGGACTGCTAGGGATCAAGTACTGTTTTATCCCTAGACTGCTGATGATTATGGATTAATTTTCCATGGAAGGATTAATCTATACCGGGGCTGATTGGAATCAAGAATTAATCTATTCTTGGACAGCTAGGGATCAAGGATTAAACTATCTCGGGACTGAAGGGATCAAGGATTAATCTATTCTTGGAATGCTAGTGATTGATATATCCCTGCAATGCTAGGAATCAAGGAACTGCTAGGGATCATTGATTTATTTCTGGACTGCTAGGGATCAAGGAACTGCTAGGGATCAAGGATCTGCTGGGGATCAAGGAACTGTTAAGGATCAAGCAACTGATAGGGATCAAGAAACTGATAGGGATCAAGGAGCTACTAGGGATCAAGGATCTGCTGGGGATCAAGGAACTGCTAGGGATCAAGCAACTGATAGGAATCAAGGAACAACTAGGGATCAAGGAACTGGTAGGGATCAAGGAACTGCTAATGATGGGTGGGGAAGGGTTGCTTCTCCAGGTTCTATTTCTCCTGGATATTTTCTGCACTACAGGGTCGATCAGGTGACATTTTTTCCCAATTTACAGAATGTCTCAAAAAAGTGTAAAAAAATGTTTGCAAGGCTTACAAGCTTTAAAAAGACACATCCCACTATAAAACACTTACAAATATATAAATTGTGTGATGCAAATTTGGATTTTTATCTCTGAAATTTCATTTTCAGTAGAACACCCTGTATATAACAAAATATTCAAGAGGAATAAAAATGATAACAATGCATGTCAGAAGATATAACAATTTATCATATTTTTTTAAAAATCATTTCAGTTCACTATGCACAACATTTAAAAATTTTAGGGGTTTCTCCAATTTTAAAACTGGAATTTAAAATTATAAATTCTTTTGCGAAGGGCATTGTCCACTATGCACCCTTGTATAATCAAAAGCAAACCCTTGGATTGAATTTTTTTATTTTGTCAAAAAAGAAACACTTAATAACTGATCATAAATTTAAGTTTCACAGTATTTTTAAATCGTTTTTAATCCCTGATAATAATAAGGTTGGATAAACTGAGTGTACCAGATTCAGCTGAACTGGGCAGTACAGTACAACTCTCGTGTACATTCACCATTCAGGTAACTATAATATTGTAAATAACACTAAACAAATTCTTGGCTTTTTAAAACAGTTTCATGTTTTTTCTTTTCCAACTCGAGTCCCGTTTGAAACTTTTCATATTGTATTTTCATTAACGTTTCTGTCCAAGATTTGTACTGTTCTTATAACGTTAAGTTTTTAATTAAAACAAAGTATAAGATATTAAAGTTCTACGACATAAAACTGCAAAAATAGATGGATAAGAAAATAAGATTTTGAGTTTGTAATTATTTATCGATTTCACAGTATAGTGTGTTAAAAATTTTTTATCAAAATTTAAAATGTTAGGTTTTTTGAAGGTATGCAATGAATATACCAAAATCTTTTGACCAAATTTGATATTTGAACTCTTTAGTGTAGTAAACGCCTCCACAAAATGCACTTAAAGATTGATTTGAACAGGTATTTTTAACAAGGTGTACAAGTTCCTTAAATGGTCAGAAAATTCGGGTTGTAAAGTTTAGCAAACTTATTTCTTGTCAATTTAAAAAAAAGCCTTTTTATTGTCAATTAAGTACATTGATCTAAGCCATTTATTTTGAGCAAAAGCTATGTTGAAACCGTAATATATATAAAATGCTGGAGACGGAATAAGATCACATTTTTGTATCGGCAACCCGATCATTTAAACAACAGTTCTCATACCGTCGAGCTGTGTATAATTGGCTATTATATTATACTAAATGAAGTACCCGGCGTTGCCCGTGCAATTTTGAAGAAGAAAAAATTAGAATTTTTATAGCGCATGTTACCTAGGTTCCCTAAAAAATGGTTTGGTCCAGCCTTTCGGTCAGCTGTAGCTAACACATATATAAATATATATATATATGTAAATACTACATACAAATATACATATACTAGCTAAAGTGCCCGGCGTTGCCCGTGAAATCAAAAAAAAAATTTAAAAAAGAATAATTTTTTAAATTCTCTTAAAAAATGTCAGCCAATTTGGCCTAGCCGTTTAGCCAGCTATATATAGCTAACTTATATATATGGGATATAGGATATATATATATATGTATATATATATATATATATATAAATATTTATCAAATATAAAAATATTGGACTTTTCTAGAACCTAGGTTTCTTAAATTTTATTATAATAGCCTTATAGGGCGCTTCGCGCCCATCTTCTAAATTAATTGTGAACATGTTCTCTTTGTGTACATCGTAAAACAAAACAAAAATAATTGGCGGATTTTCACAAAAAAATTCGTGGATTTTCCAAATTTTTAAAAATTTAATGAAGATCGAATTTTGATGGAGACAAATATTTGAAATTTTGATCATTCGTAAACCTTCCCTGTGGTCACGTGATGTCCCACAAAAAATTTGGGCCCGATCGGTTCAGCCGTTTTGACGTTTATTGAATACAATTTAATTAATTGGAGAGCTCGCTGAACTACCTGCCACCGGTTCAAATCCTGAACCATCGGTTCAATTCCCCATGAATCATGAATGTTTGAATCAGTGATTTAAGATTTTAACCGGCTGTATAGGTAGTTTAGAGACCTTGCTTTAATTCATTAAATTTGATTTTATGGCTTTTATGTTAATTTTTTTCAAGAAGCTCTCGGCATTCTAGTACAAAACCTAATAAAGACCTCTCGGTGTTAAAGGGTTTAACTGCACTCAACAATTAAGATTTGCCGAAAAAGGAAACTTTAAACTTGAAAGATAATAATAATAATAATAGCTTAGTTTACTATTTGAGTTGGTTTTGTGGCGCTATAAACACAAGATGACTTTTCAAATTTAGTTAGAACATATGCCACCCCCATTAATTTTATTAAACTACTGGGAACATATGCAACCAGGCCCTCTCCCCCCACTCAGCTTAAATAACAAGTGCCCTCCCCCACCCACATCAATCTTAATAAACAAGGCTCATTTATCTGCACAATAGTAATAACTGTGCTGTCCTGTTTTGCGAGCGGGGAAAAAGGCAGGTTTTGCATGACGTGGCTGGATCTTTGAAAATCGTTATTTGAATGCACCAAATTTACCAATTAAAACAAATAATAATTGCCGGAAGACGAAACTTGTGTGGCATGTAAGAACGAACGATTGTGGCTCATGGCTGCCGGAAGACAAAAAAGCTAAGATAAGAAAATTATCACAAATGTATTTCCTTTCTATGGCATTGTGACCCAAAGACTATAAGTCTAACTTTGAAGATTAGAGTGGAGTCAAATCTTAAAAAAAAACAATAACTAATCTCGGCTAAACTCACTTGAAGGTTATAAGTGGAGTAAAATCTAAAATAACAATAACTCTCTCGGCTAAACTCACATTAAAGATTAGAGTGGAGTAAAATCTAGAATAACAATAACTAATCTCGGCTAAACTCACTATGAAGGTTAGAGTGGAGTAAAATCTAGAATAACAATAACTAATCTCGGCTAAACTCACATTGAAGGTTAGAGTGGATTCAAATCTAAAAAACAATAACTAATATCGGCTAAACTCACTTTGAAGGTTAGAGTGGAGTAAAATCTAGAATAACAATAACTTATCTCGGCTAAACTCACTTTGGAGATTAGAGTTGATTCAAATCTAAAATAACAATAACTCATCCCGGCTAAACTCACTATGAAGGTTAGAGTGGACTAAAATCTAAAATAACAATAACTCTCTCAGCTAAACTCACTTTAAGGTTAGAGTGGAGTAAAATCTAGAATAACAATAACTAATCTCGGCTAAACTCACATTGAAGACTAGAGTGGAGTAAAATCTAAAATAACAATAACTCTCTCAGCTAAACTCACTTGAAGGTTAGAGTGGAGTAAAATCTAGAATAACAATAACTAATCTCGGCTAAACTCACATTGAAGACTAGAGTGGAGTAAAATCTAATAAAACAATAACTCATCTCGGCTAAACTCACTTTGAAGATTAAAGTGGAGACAAATCTTAAACAACAGTAACTCACTTTGAAGGTTAGAGTGGAGTAAAAAAAAAAACAATAACTTACCGCGACTCAAAGTCAATCGTTGCAGATTAGAGTTAAAAATACGCTAACTTATCTTGGCTAGATTCACTTTGTTGAAGGTTAAAGTTAAGTCATATCTTTTGAAAAAACACTGACTTATCGTGACTTAACTAACTAAGAATTAAGACAAAGGTATTAAGACCCGAGACTAAACTGTTAAATCCTAAACTCTCCTAATGTATGGGTTTATGTATTCTATATTTAGATGTCTGAAGAGGTTGAACTTGATGTAAAATGGTATCATAACTCTTCATCCACTCCTATACTAGTTTGGGTTCCATATTCCAGGTCGGTATTTACACACCATTTTACACTGTAAAAGAACTGAACACTTTCCACACACTCAAATGTTCTAATCCCAATATATTTACAATTTAAAATATCTAAAATATCAAAGGTCGCCGATATTTAAAAGAGGGACTAAAAAATTTACTTTTGGCAAGGGTTCAGTTCCTTTCCTTTTTTCCGATCTATAGGGAGCGGCGCCCCTTTCCTTTTGTAATCTAAGGGGAGGACGCCCTCCCCCCTCCCGGAAGAAAGTTGACCAATCACTACTTATTTCAGAGTTCCTTACCTCCTTCCATCATCAATATCAGAATACCTCAGTATTTCATCCTTCGAAGATGCTGGGGATAGAATACCTAGGTCTGGAACGGAGCCCAACCGAGTGGAATATCTTCAATCTGGAACGGAGCTTTCATTTCCCCGGTCTGGAACGAGAACAAAGACATTGATTAGTGAAATAACTCTTCAAGCAGACTCATTTAGGAACAGAATTAGAAAAATGAAAATGAAAATATTAATATAGTATTCATATTCATATTCACAATGATTCATTGACAATATTTATCATTTCAACAATGCGCCCCACGTGGATTTAACGGTTCTGTCGATATTCCAGAAAGCTGTGACTTTCGATCACAATTTGACCCATTAAACATAATTTGTTAGCCGTTTTATTAAATACTGTTTTTGTTGGCATATGCATTTTGAGTGAAAATGTATAACATAAACAAATCTGTAAAGTAAATGATTATTGAATCAAAGACCAAAACAAACCTTATGTGATTCTAACACCAAACAATGCATAATAATTATAATACATTTAATAATTTAAAAGCTCTCTAAATCAAGATTTAATTATTTATGCATTAAGAGTTTAAGATGAAAATCGTTGAAATTCAACACTTTTCAGACAAATGCACAGGATATTTTCCTTATTGTTACTCAGATACAGGTTTAAATGGCAACGTTGTGAATTGAACATGCCAGATCATGGTTTAGAAAAAAAGCTAAAATTGTAATTTACTACCAATCGCGGGTAAACAGCTGGAGTATTCTGGGCAACGCGGGGTTCCCAAGCTAATAGATTTATACAATGCTCTGTACTTTAATAGGTGAGTCTTCTCTGCTTCTCAATAAAAAAAATTGGGACAAATTTCAAAAATAATTGAAAAGAAAACTTTTTAAAAAGAAATTTCAAGCATATATTTGGTGATAGAATTTAACCTGTAGGCTCTAACTATTGTTTGCAAAATCTTATATTTGAATACAAAGCTAGTTTATAGCTGAGATAAAATGTTATGTAAAATGGAAACATAAAGGCAGAGAACAGAAATATATTTGCAAGAAGACAGGAGGTCTCAAATAGTTTAGGTTTCACGAGATAAAAGTGTGGGGGGTCGGCTTTGCCTGGACTTTTCCCTGTTCAAGTCGATAAACTCTACTTAAAATTCTTAAACCAGACTAAGAACATTATCGAGCTCTCTAATCAAGATTTGAGGGAAATCGGTCCGATGATTCATGAGTTATGATCGGACATCTCAAGGTTGTAATGCAAGGAAAGTTATTTCAGAGGTGTACGCTTCTTTTACAGCAGTGAACCGTCTCTGGGCGGTAAATAAACACAAGACGGATGTCAAAACTTTACATGGGATTCATCTTTCACATAAAAATCAATGAAATATTCTGGTCATAGGAAACTACTATCTGAATTATCAAAATTATCAAAATTTATAAATGCTTTGAACCTCCTCGGATACTAAACGAACACCGATGCATCTATTCTTGTTTACAATTTCCGCCAAGAGAGAACTGGTTTCAATCATAGATAAAGATAGATTGTGCATAAGACGACATTTTTCATCTTGAACGATATAAATGTACAGAGATGTTCTTAAGATAATTCCTATTATATAGATTAACTAGGTCGGTTGTGAACATTGGCTGTTCTTATGTCATTGAGTACTTGTGGTGTACATGAGTTAACAGTAGAGAGAAATTTTAGTTAGTTTAGCCCTTCTCACGTCCTTCTTCAGCTCTCGTCAATATGATAAATTGCTCATTGAAATATTGCTGTTCAAATAGTTCCATTCCCGGAGTTATTTTACACTCCATTATAAAATCCATTAAAACACCAAACCACCCCGCTTATCATTGAAGTACACTTTGACCCCTAGAAGTATGAGTTCGCGGACTGTACAATTCTTGGTGATTTTACGTACATAAGCTATCTATGTTTATTTATTTATCTATGGTTTCAATATATACGCAGTGTATACGCAACTGCAATTAACTTTCCTTGCATTATAACCTTGGGAAATCCAAGCATCCAAACAGAGTTTACAACAAGTATTCGGATTGCTCGGAAAGCCTGGTGGAATCTGAATTCTAGTTATAAACCTCAAGAAAATATTTGTTAAATTACAACCTTACACAATCTAATAACAGCTCAACGACGTATCCCTTACAAAATTCTGTCTGAAAAGAGAATTTGCAACAAACTCAAATTTTCAAATCCCTATTCCTTTGCAACCTACAGTCCTAAACCTAAGATATTTTAAACTACGAATTAGAAAATTTGTGATTATTTCAAATATTCAATTTCTTTACGGTCAGCATTTTTTCAACTTATTTTGAATCGTCATTCTTTAACAATATAAGATCATTTGAAATTAACCTTTAACATATCAAGTTTTTAGATAAAAAATCTAAGGGCTAAAGGAATTTTTTGTTTCTAATTTACAACATTATTATGCGCAGTATTTGAGATTTAATTTCCTATTTGTACAAGCTGTTCTGTGGAAGCCTGTAATCAATGTCACCTACTTCTCCCAGATTTTCAACATTTATTTCGCGGATTTTAAAGTTTAGCAAACTTATCCAATCTGCAGCCGCCAGCCAGCTTTAGGGTTCAGAAAACTGGTTTAGAACACTGCAGTAGTTGACATTAATATATCTCATTAAAGGGTCTAATCACCTTTTTATTTAAATTTAGTGACTGCCTTGTTCAAGATTCATCTAATCAATAATGTGGAAGATATTGTCGTTTTACCAGCTTGAAAAGTGTTTAAATCCAAACGTTTCCTCCGTTGTTTCTGAAGCTTGAATGCGCAAGTCAATTTATAGAGAAACCACTTTTGAAAATAATAGGGTTTCTTAACTATACTTTTAAAGTTCAATGAACTAAAACAGTGAATAGACGTATTTTATTTTTAAATTCTGGTTAACTAGGCTATCAGGAGAGTACAGTTGCAAGGTTTCAACATTTAGTCAAGAAATTATTGTTGGACGTAATATTATTGTGTACGGTAAGAATAAACTCTAATTTCCTAACCCATACATCTTTAAAACCTGATCGTATAAACCTTCAATATTTCTAACAATGGCTACTAGATTTAGCAGAATTCATAGCTTTTAATATTTAAGTTAAAATGTTTTCCGCTTATTAATATTGTGGATTTGAACCAATTGAATGCATTCCAAGATGTTGCAGAGAAAAATGCAATTTATCTTTGATAACTTAACTTGCATAGAAATGCATGCATATTGTTTTATAAATATAGGATCACTAACCCGCAACTTTTGTTCATCATGTTCTCAAGCTGAATATAAAACCCTGTCTATTTATATATATTTGTATTGTCCGCCCGTCTTGTTCAAAACATAAAACCACGCGTAACAAACAAGAAATTAGCATGTCCAAAATGAGTTGAACAAACCTTATGTGATTCTAACACCAAACAATGCATAATAATTATAATACATTTAATAATTTAAAAGCTCTCTAAATCAAGATTTAATTATTTATGCATTAAGAGTTTAAGATGAAAATCGTTGAAATTCAACACTTTTCAGACAGATGCACAGGATATTTTCCTTATTGTTACTCAGATACAGGTTTAAATGGCAACGTTGTGAATTGAACATGCCAGATCATGGTTTCTTCCACACTCTCCAATAACATTGATATGTTGTATGGTTCAAAACATTTATAAATGCTGAGCAATTTTTTGTAAATATATATTTTAGAGGCCCCTGAGAGGTTTTGGATAAATCAAAGTTTATCCTATGGAGAGCTCACTGTATCCTGCTCAGTCTGGGCCGGTTATCCTACACCTGTACTCACACTTTGTAAACAGGTAGAACATAGGCTATCCTACACCTATTCTCACGCTTTGTAAACAGGTGGAACATAGGTTATCCTACACCTATACTCNCTATAGAGAGGGACCGTCCCTTTCCGCTCAAATTCTGAACGAAAAATCGGCTTTTTCTCCGGCCACAGTTGTCTTTGAAAAGTAAGACTATTACCAATCAAGAGCGAATAGGCTGTTTAGTTTACCCTGAAATTACCCAAATAAGTGAACGGTCCCTTTAAAAAGATTTTTAAAACTTGTAAAATGTGCTGTACCTTTCAACTTGAAAACAATAATTCAATCATTTTGGTTTTCAACTATTTTCAATACTCTTGTATTTATCATTATCAGACATCTGATAACCTTAAACCAAGATGGAGGAATGTCTTTTTGCATTTGCTCAGATCAAATTTTAAGATTTTCCCCTTCCATGGTTTATTGATAAACCCACGGACAGTACGTGATGTCGATTTGAATAATCGAGGGTATTCTTTTTTATTTTTATTATTTTTAACATTGAACAGCCAGGTTTTCCATGTCGCTTTCAGTTTAGAAGCAAATCCATACTTTTCTATTTGAAAATAAGAGTACAAGCAGTGAATGTTTTTCAACCCAAAGGTCGGAAGGAAGATCGCAAATTGATAAATCTAAAAAAAGCCCAAAACCTTTTCAAGGATTTAGCCACAGGTTTAAAAGGAATTGAGTATTTGCCACAAACACAAATTTTCTAATCCCTTTATCTTAGCAAGCTGTCGGTGTAAACCTTTGATATTTCAAACTTAGATTATATGATCTAACAAAATTCATAGTTAGAAATATCTAAGGTCTGTGACATTTGGCATAAGAAAATCAGAGTTTGTGGCAAAGACTCAATTCTTTTGTGTGTTAGTATAAATTAAACTTTTTAGTGAATGTTTTTTTAACTCATATGGTCGGAAAACCTCTCTAGCGCTTTAAAAAATAATTGGCCTGTGAACCTGCATTTCAAAACCTTAACTTGACATGTTTTACACTGGACATTGAAGTACGTCACAAAGGGATTGTAGATTCAATTTCAAGCCTGATGCATTCACAAGTTTGCCATGTCCAATTCACAAGAATGATGTAGATATCCTGTTTTATCGCTCATAATTTCTTGGCACTCAAAGTTTAGTTAGAAAAATAAGGATATCTATACGTCATCCTTCATCAAACAAAGATTTAATCGTAGTAAAGAATTAATGAATTTTAAAGGGACATTATGGCAACCGCACTAGCATTTTTATTCTCATTTAAATTGTATTAAATTGTGATTACTTTTTAAATAACGCTGAACTCTCCATTTTAATTCGTTCATTCAATCCAAGTGATTCCGCATAAAGTTTATATTTTTTTTCAGGGCATCCAAGGAGATTGTGATTACAGAGTGTCAACTAATGATGCTGTATACGAGGATAGTCAGGACTACGGGGAGGAGGACTATCTTGTTGATCCAAGACTAGTCCTCATTAGTTCAGTTTTTAGTCTGCAAAGTCTTCAAGATGTTGCAAAGTTCACATGTACTCTACATATTCCAGGAACATACAATTATTTATCATTTATTCTTTATTTCATTTTTATCAGATTTTTTTTATTTTTTGTTTTGGCCTTAGTCTAATGCCACAGTAAAAATGTTTCACAATAAAATGAGAATGTTAAAAAAGTCAAAGAACCTTGAAAATTTTAAAACTACTTCAAAATGTATATTTCTAAAAAACTTGGAAAATTTAGTGATTTATTTTACTAATTGTTAGGTTAAGCTTCTAAACTATGTATTTGCATAGTTAAGTCAAGTTGAATTTCGGCAAATTTGAAATTGAATAGATTTAATTTCTTAATTATCCTAAAACCTATATATTACAGTGGTCTATTGTTCTCCTGCTATACCTATTGTTTTACACACTTAGTAATACATTCAAGATTACCTTCAAACAACCTTTCCCCCTCCCCCTCTATTTGGGTATCAGGGGGTGGGGGGGGATTCTGACGGAAAACTGGTAATTTCTGTGAAAACTCTTTAAATGTTATTTGAATTGTGGTTCTTCATTACAGTGATTTACAACAGGAAATATAGAGAATAGTATATATTTTCGAGACAGAAAAGTGACAATATTTGTTGGAATGGGACGTACATGCACTTGATATAATGTCGACAGTTATTTTAAGAAAACTGTATTTGGGAAGAAAGATGGAGTGGGGGGGGGACTTTTTGTTAAATGAATAGGATCGTCTGTACTAATTGTATTGAACTTAACAGGAACGAGCTTTAAGAAAGAAGAGGAGAAAATATTTAACAAATATCCATCAGTTCAGCCCCTTCCAATGGTTAGTCGGGCAACGAGTAGCGCGCCGACCAACCTTCTAACGAGTAGCGCGCCGAACTGCTTATTTTTACAACTGATAATGATGTTCTCACATCGGTGACGTTTTACAAATTTTCATATATTTTAGAAAAAAAACTGTGAAACCAAAAATTGTTGATTAGTGAAAACTCCCAAGGTACAAATATTTATGTTCACTTACAATATATGTACTCTGTGTTCGCATGAACTACATTAGATGTACAGTACACAAGCAAGTACATAAGCCATCTCATTCGTTTTATACAATGTATGAAACCGTGATAATTAAGTATTAACAATCATGTAAAATGTGATATTTGTAAAATTTACATTTACGAGTAAATAAAATAAATAAATTGCAAACAAAGACCTCATCGTTGTAATCTGCAGATTACAATGCATTTTGAAATAAAATGTTCATATACAAATAGTAAATTCTAGAATGAAAAGCAAATATTTGAACGTAAAGATAATTTGATTAGTGCTACTTTAACAAGGTGGGGTGGGGTGAGGGGGGGGGTAAAGGGTCCAAAGGTATTTATAAAAATGCATTTATGTACTTTGTAACCAACGAAGTATCTTCCCCTCCCCCCTAGGTGATGGGCATTTTTTTCAATTTTCAAGGTACCAAAAAAGTCGATTGTATTCTGAACACGTTTGCCGTTATGCACAAATTTTAGAAAATATTGTTTTAACCCTAACTTAACTAACATCTGGTTTACCCAAAATAGTCGCGGGGAGTCAATCCCCCCCCCCCCCCC